TTGGGTGGTAATATAAAGATAATTTTTTATATTTTTTATACAATTTTTACATATTATTAAATAAATAAATTATTTAATATTATGAATCTTAAATATAAAAAATTTAATTATTTAAATAATATATAAATTATATTAAAAAATGATAATTATTTTTTCTTAAAATATTATATTTTTTTAATATTGAAGGGTTAAAGCCAACTGCCGTCCCTCTACTTTGTGAAAAAGTTCAATTTAACCCTTCTACTATGTAATCACCTCAAGTCGTCCCTCTACTTCATTTTGAACTCACATGTCCTCCCTCTACTGTTTAAAAGGTGCTCAATTTCGTCCCTCCACCCATTCCAGGCTAACACTGTCACATTTTACCGTTAAAGCCAAACGGTTTGGCATTTAATATATATTTTTATATTATTCTTTTCTCTAATTTGGCTACAATAGGACCCACCAATACCACATTATACTTCATATTAATATCTTTCTACATAAATATTTTACCAACCTTTTTTTTTCCAATTATTGGCCATGTTTATTTCTCTCATTTTATTAACTTTTTAGTTAAGTTAATTAAAAGGGTATTTTTCAAAATTATGTAGGTAATAAAGTAAATTTAATTTTTTTAAAGGAAATAGATAAAAAATTTTGAATTTTATTAAGGTTCAAAAAAATTATAATTAGAAAAAAAAATCATAATGACTACTAATATTCTTTAACTGTAAGTTTTAAATGATATAAAGTGAACGCATAATTTGTGATTCTATTTATGTGTATAAATGAGTTAAGTAAGTACATGTGTGAAGCATTTGTCTATATTTATATTTAAATTGAAAATTAATAAATATAAAATTTTAATACTCACTATTTATTTAAGTATTAAAAGTCTATTCTAATTATTCAACTTACTAAGTACATGTATACTTACAATTATATTCATATACTTATTAAATATTATAATCTTTTAATACAAATTAAAATATAATTAAATATATTGCAAAACATATACTTTAGTTCATATATAATATACAAACATAAATTTCTTTAAATATACTAGTTCAATATAAGAGGTGTATTTTTAAAATAGTCCTTAAAAAATATACTTTTCTTTCATAAATTATAAAAAAATATTGTTTTAAGACAAATTCAAAAAATATTTGTATCCTAAAATAAATAAACAAAAATTGATATATATAAAATAAAGCAATACATCATTAATTAGTACCTTTTACTACCTTTTGTGTTTGTATTCTAACTTTATTATATACTTTATTATAAATATAAAGTCATATATTTTTTTGTATACACATTATTTTTTTGATATTTATAGAAGACATTTTCAACTCAACTCTCTTATATTTCAAGACTAATCTTTATTTGGGTTATTTTAAAGGCATACCTCTTACATCAAATTAGTGCATTTGAGGAAGTTTATATTTATATATTATGTATAAACTAAAGTATATGTTTTGCAATAGGATTCTTAAGGCATGTTTGGTGGAGTTTCTAAAAATTTTTCCCTTTTTAATACTGTTCATGAGTAATAAGTTTAAATTTTTATATGAGAAAAAATTTAAAAGTTGCTTTTAAAAATACAATAAGTAAATAAGAAGTGAGTAAAAAAGAAATTTATAAAAAGTAAAAGTTCAAAAATTTTCAAAATTTATTGTTTAAAATCTTTTTAAGGTTAAAAAAATTAAAAAATATAAATTTTTTAAAAAAAAATTTAAACTTATGAAATA